TCAATTTTACCTGAACAATTGTATTTGTAATCTTATTGGCTGACCATAGTTTTGTCCCACCTCATGCCCACCTTGTAATTTCCCATTTTCCCCCTATCTGGGACCTGCCTCACCTCGTGGTTTTGCTCTATAAAGTCCCTGGGAAGAGCAAGGTCCTTGGCAACCCACTCGGGCCCCCTTCTGTCCCTCTCTTGGACAGAAGCTTTCTTTCCCTCAGTAAATATATTCTGCTCTTTTTTTTTTTTAAAAAAAAAGGAATACTGAAGGCAATGAATATAAACATTTGAGTCACATGCTAGTAAGAGTGCTGAGTTTATTGATCTAACCAGTCACTGAATTCTATCACTATGACTCATGTAAAATAAAAATTTTAACAAATTTCCTGTAGATCTGCCAGAAATAGCACCTGATACTAAGAATTATGCTATAATGATGATGACAAAACTGAATGTTTAACTGATGGAGGAAAGGCATTACATTCCAACTTGGAGTGTTTTTCCACTGGCAAAAGTTCTACTGAAGTGAGCACGACCATTCCCTTCTGAACTTTCAACGATTCCAAAAAGTTGCTTGGAGGCCTCAATCCTAGTGGAAGATAGCTACACATACAATATAAACACTTCTGTGATTCTTTCATATAAGCACCATCTGCATGGCAACATGTAAAATAAGTTCATCTGAGCTTTTCCCTGTCACTAATATCTGTGAAAATATCCATTCCTTACTTATGGCGGCAAATGACCACATCATTATATTCATAATCTCCCTAGGAAAGGATATGTGACTGGAGATATTTTGAATCAACCTAAAGGGATATTGTTATGGGTGACCAAGGAAAACATACATACATTAGCTATTTAAAGCTATTCTGAAGTCTGGCTTTTGGATACCAGATTTTACAAAATTTGATGCCTTTAGCTTTGTGGAAAGCATTTTACTACACTTGATCTTAGCCAAAAGGCTGAGAAGTGATATGTGGAAAGCATTTGAAATGCAATATAGTTTTATCAAAAAATAGTATCAGGGAGTTGAACATGTAGCTTAGTGGTACAGCACCCTGTTCCCATAGATAAGGTCCTGGATTGGGTCCCTACCATGACAAAAATATAGCATTAAAATAGAATCAATTTCTTATATTGATGTTTTGAAACAACTGGGGCCTGAGGTTGGGGGAGAAAGGTCAAGAACCCTACATTTGTTTGAGCATCAACTATGTGCTGGGCCCTGAGGTGGGTAGTCTTTTTGTTTTTTGTTTTGTTTTTGTCGTTTTCAGACAGGGTTTCATCCCACAGTTCAAACTGGCCTTCAACTCACTTTGTAAGTAGCCCATGCTGGCCTCGAACACATAGCGATCCTCTTGCCTCAGCTTCCGAGTGCTGGGATTTATAGATGTGTGCCATCATGCTGGGTTTAAGTTAGGTAGTTTATATGGTACATCTCATTTAATCATCCTCTTGTATGATACATTGTATGTTTAAGTACAGTTCTTTCCCCATTGTAGAATACTACATTGATATTAACTCAGTTTATTGCTTCAGATGATGCAACTCAACAGAATTATGTTTTATAAACTCACATAATTGATTGAAAGCTTTGGTCTTTTCCACTTTCCCATGCTACCTCCAAATTACAACTTTAAGTTTAAAGTTTAAAAACCTGCAACATTTAGTTTTGGAAGAGCCTGACTTACATTTGCACTATTACCCCTTAAACAGTTTCTTCCACCCACTTGTCACAGTACAGAGGACATGTAGGCAATGAGGAGTCCAGATTAAAGAACTCTCTCCCTGCTCTCCTTTGTCCACTGCTGGCTCTGTATACCTCATACTTTTGATAAAATACTGAAAAAGCAAAAAAATTATATCTAAACAAAAGGTATTTCAGCCTTTAACAAAGGTACATAGGAATCTCAAAATGCACTGTATATAGTAAGATAGAAAGTTACATGTTACCCAACTCTGTTCACTTTCTAAGTAGATAATATTTTCTACTCAAAGATATTAGATTTATTATTATTTAAATCATATCATAACATTCTATTGCTGCTAAAGAAAATTACTAATACTGTGCTATTTTTCCTATTTCTGATAATTGTCCCTCACACCACTCCTACTATTACTATTTTGTTTACATTTTATTCTCTTTACAAGACTTTCCCCATGACATATTTTTTCATGTTGTGGACCTTGTAGTTCATGAAAAATTTTCAGCAAAAATTTTGTTTAGTCTTTACACTGTGAAATAAACATTGATACTCAAATTTTATAAATGAGGATGTTACAGAAGTGCTTAGTATTATTAAAATCACATAGCTTAATGGGAACATAAGTAGGATTGGAATACATATTTTCTTATATTAAAACTACTCCACTTTCTATTGTATGACCAATAACTTCCCAGTGTCAGACTCTTCTTAACCCACTGCTCCACTAATGTTTATATTCCTCATCAAGAAATCTCCGAGTAACTAACTCAAACTCAAGAAGAAACTATCTGCCTCTGTCAGGAGGTAACCATGTATGGCTTTGCAATAACCACTTAACACCTCAATCTATTTATCTGAACAATAAGCATAACAATATTTTTAGAAAAAATAATAAACATGCTAGGCTATCTTGCACAAAGCTACTAAGATTAATTTTATAAAGTACATCTGTCAGTATTTTCCTACTCAATAACCTTCACCCATTAGCCAGGTCTCGTGGCGTACACCTGTAATCCCAGCACTTGGAAGGCTGAGGCAAGAGGATCGTTGCATGCTCAAGACCAGCCTGGGCTACAAAGTGAGCTCAAGGCCAGCCTGAACTGCACAGTGAGACCCTGTCTCAAAAAAGACAAAAATAAATAAATAAAATAAAATGAAATAAAATTAACACTTAAGATTCTCATGAACTATCCTTCATGTATTGTGTTAACACTATGGCATACTATAGTATCTGCTTATCATATGTCTTCCATATTATGAAAAACCAAAACACTATTTCAGAAACCAAAACCGTACTTTTCCAAATCTATGGTTTTGTGCTTATGATTTCCCCGTATGTGGAAATAATGACCACTTTTCAATTCCCAACTTCTCAACTGTAATAGCTTTCCCATCACTAGGACAAAGAGCCTGACACTTGCAATTTAAAAAAGGAGAGATTTATTCGGCTCAGAGTTTCAGAGCGTTCCATCAATATCCGGGAGGTTCCAAAGCACAAATTGGACAGCAGAAGGGCCTGGTGTGGAAAAGTGGCTCAAGCTATGGAAGCCAGGACTTAGAGAGTGGAAAGATCAGGGACAAGAATATATCATTCAATGCCATGCTCCCAGTGACTTACCTCTTTCAATCAAGCCCAATAGTACATTGAGCTATGGATTCATCAATGGAGTATTTTATTGCACAATCAAATTGCCATCCAAAAGCCCAACTTCTGAATCCATGACACTTTGGGGGAAACATTTTAGATCTAAACCATAACATCAAAAACCCTTCTTTGATCTTCCAGATGTAATTAAATTCTCTCCTCTGTGTCCAAAGTATGGCTTTATACCTTTTTTGTGACAGACAAGTTTTCTTTGCATTATATTTATGTGCTTGTCATTTTCCCCTACTAGAGGAAACTAAGACAAAGTTAAGGATTAAACAATTTGAAATTGCTGATATTCAAGCAATGGTGATCTATGAAAGTGACAATTTCAGAAATTTAATCTAATGAAACATTTCTTTTATAGTCATTACCAATCCTTTTAATGTAAGAAATTAAACTTTGGATTGTGTTTTAGAATTATTCTAGAGGCTAATAAGAAGAAACGCACTCAGAGGCATACAAAAGTAAGACAATTACATATAACCTTTTATTTTAGATTGAAAAACATGGATTTTAAAAATCATTTATAGTCCTTTTGATCAATATGGCAAAAGTATATATTTTGAAAGTCTCAGTCTTTAGAAATAATCTCATTATATTTCATATTAAGCAGTTCAAGTTCTTATATCTGAAGATTGCATCTTTATTTTTTCTCATTCTTTTTTTTCTAGTAAAATTTGCCTATGAAAGAGAGCTATTTAAGGTATGGGAAAACACAAATGATACTTGATGCTCTGCTGTTCCAATTATGAATGCTGGATTTATCAGATACAAGATTTTTTTTTCTTTAACACTTGAATAGCAGTTGTTTATAAGATTCCAAAGTCTTCATAACATAAACTATTCACTGAAGATTTTTTTTATCCCAGGAGATTTCTCCTTAGCAACTAAGTGTTAGTTTCTATTTTATTGAGTATATAATAATAAATAAGCATATTTTGACTTGAATTAGTGTGACATATTCTCAAATAAGATATACATGAAATCATTACTAGCTTATAAAATATTACCGTTATAATAATCTTAGGTGCTGTCATTTCCAATTCATTATTCATTTAAGTACCATACTTTATGAAAATATCTTATGTTGTAGCATTTTGGGGCTCATTTTATTTTATTTGTAAAGGTTTCATTTGAGAAAGGGTTTCACTATGCAGTTCAGGCTGGTCTTAAACTCACTTTGTAGCCCAGGCTGGCCTTGAACTGGCAGTGATCCTCCTGCTTCCGCCTCCTGAATTCTGGGATTACAGGCATGCATGCCATACCTGGCTGGGCTCATTTTAGAACTGAGGATCAGCTGAAAGTTATGTATATACATTAATACAATCATATGTTCCCATATAAATTTAATGTATTATTGAATATGAGTTGTTTTGCCTTGAGAAGAAAGTATTTACTTTAAAAATGCTATAACTAAATGCAAATACCAGTGGTGTAACTCGCAATTATTTTGATGAAAATGTAATGTACTAATACGAAATTAAAATTGCAAAAATTAAAAGGCCATCAGTGCCAAAAAGCAATGTATATTGTGCAGTAGGCACTATAGAGAGTAAAAAAAGAGTAAAAAATATAAGTACTTGTATAGTGGTGTGAGAAGAGTTCAAGAATGTTATTTTACTTTGAGAGAGAATCAACTGATCTTACCTGCTCATGTATCTGGTTCGATCCACCATGGCAAAGTTCATTTCCAATGTTTGTAGAAGTTGAATCACTTTCTGTAATGCTTTTGATTTGTTGATTAGAATGGAATTGTTGACAGTGTGAAGAGTGGGTGATCGGGGGCTGCTGGACAATGTGATGAACACAGTGAACCTGAGGGTAGCATTCCTGAAATACATTCACACGTCACACATAAGCATTGGGAATAAATAATGCTAATCGAGAAAAACAACTAAATATATTATTAAAAATTCTATGTGTTCTTTCACATAATAATTCAAATCCCAGAGTTTGTAACTTTGATTAGTGGTATGTTATTTTTCATATTATTTCATTGGCAAAATTTGCATGGAATTCTTTCTTCATTTGACCAGGCATCTGTGCCCATCTAAATATTTATCTACAGGGGCTGGGGATTTAGCTCAGTGGCAAAAGCGCCTGCCTGGCAAGCGCAAGGTCGTGAGTTCGGTTCCCGGTACCGGAGAAAACCCCGCCCCGCCAAAAAATAAATAAATAAATAAATAAATAAATATTTATCTACAGAGGTCAGGGTAGTGCATGTTTGGATTAAATTAATACTCCAGTTAATCTTAACACTACAGCTACAATGAATATTGATTAATCTTTGATGTTTCAACAGGTACTTTAGTATCTAAATATATGATAATACTATACTACAGACAGTATAGGCAAATATAAAATTGGGAAATAATATAATGTAGTGAATTTCAATGTCAGGAGGCATATTAGAGACATGGGGAGGGGAAGAGTTCTTGTGCTAATGAGAATACAGCATGAACTTAAGAGAAAGATTGTAAACCAATGATTGTTGCTACAGATCTAGAAAACATGGATTCTGCATTCTAACTCTAATTATACCACTTGTTCTTTGATCCTGAGAAAATTGTGTCTGTGCATGTATATGTGTGTGTGTATAAAATCCTTTATAAGCCTCACTTCCCTTTGTAAAATTAGACACAGTATAGGTTTTATTGGTTTGTTGAGAGGAGTAAATGCAATATCTGCAAATTGCATAGTATACAATAGATTGGTAATAGACCTTTATTACTATTACTAATTCTCATGATTATATAACCATTGTTATCATCAGCAACTTTATCATTGACCCCAGTAATTTTAAACGTGGGAAACAAACAACAGTTTTCCAGAGAAACATGATTTATTTTACCTCACAGCTAATAAATTGCAGAATTTTACTAGAGTTCATAACTACTAGTTTCTTCTGGATATTAGATTGAATCTACAGGACCTCAGACTATTCTGGAATTTGTTGTTTTTAAACTACACCTTTCCTAACTACCTGTTATATGTCATTGCTTTTCTCTATTGAATATACAGCACAAACTAACAAAGGGCAACTGTTATTTCAGTTCTGAGGATTCCTGTATACTTGAATAGTATGTTATTCCTCTATATTGACAAGAGGCTTCTAGAAGCCTATTTTCACATAGAAAATAGTCTTAATGCTATATTCATGCACCTATAATCAACTTTGAAAGTATAAATTCAATTCTATCGGATTGTAAAAATTTGACCAATGTTAAAATAGTAAAGTACTTCATATTTTAATTTGTTAAATGAAACAATTTTAAGGCTATATTTAATGGAACAACCAAAGTGCAGAAGAATGAATATAGTATTCTCCCTGTGGAGTAACTTGTAAAAGAATATACACACATAATTACAAATATATAGAAGTGCTTTTATATGTGTAGACCAATAAACGTTGAAGAGTGTCTACCTCTGGGATGAGAAAGTAGGTAAAAAAGGTACAAATGAAGCTTATTTTTAATTATTTTCATTTTTATTCTTTTTAATATTATTGTTATATATGAAAATTCTTACTCTATATACAAATTACCATTTCCTGTATAGAAAAATATTTTGAAAGAAATAAAAATATATAAAGAAGCACATTTTATAAATAGAAATTACCTTTGGAAGCATATAAAGATGATAGAATCAATTTGGGGGATTATTACTTGTAGACTCTTCAGATATAATCCACTTTACAAGTGAGTTTACAATAAGTTATTTTCAGGTTTGGAAACTACCCCTATGATACTCACAACTTTTGTACAGTTTTGGGGGAGATGAATGCATTATCTCTTCTTTTTTATTACAAAATATCTTCATTAATGAGAAAAGGTGTGTATAATCAAGTGAATATTCAAATAAGAGCAAGGAGTAGCAGTGTTCTATTAAAGGAGATCTTTAGTTGTTCCATATGCTTAGTGATAATATAATGTGCAGAATATTTATTTTTTTTTATTTCTAGAAAATATGAATTAACAAAGATCTTTTGGGCCAGCCACGCCCATAGAAGCTAGACTGAAACGAAGCAAAGCACTGTCTCCAGAGGAAAGGATGCAAGCTTAGTGGTCAGTCTGGACACCCCTCCCCTACCCAATCAAAGTCTCTCCACTTATGCAATAAGTGGAAGAGCACATAGGCTGAATTCTGATTGAAATACTGTGAGACTGAAAGGACTCTACTTTTGTGTTTTTGTATGTGTGTTTTTCCTTTCTTTTATATCAACATAGTAACTGGTTTTGACCTTCTCACAGCTTCCCTCAATCTTCAACCACACTTTGTTCTCTCATTGTTTTTCACATCCTGGAAAATATTCTCTCAAACCTCCTCGCTACCAGATATAAAAATAATATCAACAAAGTTCTACCTATTTGCTTTCATTTGTTATTATCTGCTTTATCTCGTTTCCCTCTTTTTGATCTTTTTCTTCCCTTTTACCTTCCCTCATCCTTTACAACCAGACAGCAGATTTTTAAGGACTAAAATAAAACAACATTCAATTCAGATTAACATATTGTGGAAAATTGTCTTTCAAAACTGAGAGAGAAATAAATGCTTTCCATGGCAAAGTATAACTTAACAAATTCATGACAACTAAAGAAACTTTACAGAAAGAATCCTAGACAGAGTCAATGAGTCCAATAACACCAAAAGAAAATATCTAATAGAGTTGAGCAGTTAAGCAAAAGGGTAGTTAAGCAAAATAAAGGTATTGTGAACAGAAAAATAATGCAATGAGGTGATTCAATGATATTTTTCAGTAGCAACTCTAAATGTGGTCTTAATTATCTAATCAAAAGACACAGACTGACAGATTGGATCAAAGTCAAAACCCAACTATGTGTTACCTGCAACATTAATAAAGAAAAGCATAGACTAAAAATGAAAGAATGGAAAAAGACACTTCATGCAACAGGAGGCCATTAGCAAGTAGGAGCAGCTATCCTGTATTAAAAAAAGTGGAGAATGAGCCAAAACCGCTCGGAGGAGATGAAAATCACCACACATGATTAAAGTGAACAGTTCACCAGGAAGAGATAAAAATTGTGAATACGTTAACACCAAATGCTGACAAACCAAGTTTTATAAAGTAATACCTGACCTAAAATGTCAGAAAACCATCAACACAATCATGGTTGGAGACTTCAATACCCCATTTATACAAATAAGTTCATCAGATAAAATATCAACAAAGAAATGTCAGAGTTGAACCATACCATCAAAAAAATAAACATAACAGAGTATTTTATCCAACCACAACAGAATACACATTTTTCCCAGCAACACATAGAGCTTTCTCCAAAACAGACTACATCTTAGGCCATAAATCATGTGTAATTAAATACAAAACAACTGAAATAGCCTAATGCTTAATATCAGATCATAGTGCAATAAAACTAGAAATCAACAACAAAAGAAACCACACAAATTATGAAAACACATGGAAAATAATACACCCTTGAATATACAGTTGAGTACAGAAGAAATTACAATATTCCTAAAACCAAATGACAGCTGCAGTACAACATACTAAATCCTATGGGACATGGAAAGCAGTTCTAAGAGGAATACTCACATTAGAAAAATACAGTAATCCCCAATAAATAAGCTAATGATGCATCTCAAAGTCATAGAAAATGAGAACAATTCAATACTTGTTAAAAAAAGAAATTATAAATATCAAAGCAGTATTTATGAAATTAAGACTAAAAATAACAATACAAACAACAAAGAATCTAAGATTGACTTCTTCAAAAGGATAAATATAATTGATAAACCCTTAGGTGAGCTTGCTAAAAGAAAGAAAAGGCTCATATCAATTAAATTAAAATGAAAGACATGAAATCACAATGGACATTACCAAAACCCAAAAGGGTATAAGAAACTACATCAAAAATTTATATTCCAATAAATTGAAGATCCTAGAAAATAGAATAAATTACTATACAATGTGAATTATCAAAATAGAACAAAGAAGACACAAAAACCCTGAGTAGACCAATAATAAGCAATGAAATTGAGGCAAAAATAAAAACCCTACAAACTAAGAAAATCTCAGGACTTGACAGATTCAATACAGAATTTTATCAAAACTTCAGGGCAGAACTAATGTCAGTACTCCTCAAACTCTTCCATGAAATTGAAAGAGAAAGGCAACTACAAAATCCATCCTTGAAAGGCAGCATTACCCTGATACCAAAACTGGACAAGGACTCAACAACAACAACAAAATATAGGTCAAGTCTCTTAATGAACACAGATGCAAAAATCCTCAACCAGATACTTGCTAAAAGAGTACAACAAATCATTAAAAATATCATACATCATGATCATCTTGTTTTCATCCCAAGGACGTAAGAATGACACATGTAAATCAATTGATGTAGCACATACATGTAAATCAATTAATGAACTACACCACAGAAACAGAAGGCCAAATACCATATGATCATCTCAATAGATGCAGAAATATCTTTGAAAAAATGAAACATCAATTCAGGATAAAAATCCTTGATCAAAATATATATAAATGGTCTTATTATAAGCTGATAAAAGTCATTTATGACAAACCCACTGCCAACCTCATACTAAATAGGAAAAAGTATGAAAGAAGTTCCTCTAAAAGGAAGAATAATACAAGAATTCTATTCTCACCTCTCCTTTTAAATATAGTACTCAAAATTTTAGCTAGAGCAATTAGGCAAAAGAAAGAAAAAGGTTTGAATAGGAAAAGTTGAAGTGAAACTATCATTATCTGCATATGACATGATCATTTATATAGGAAATCTAAAAATTTTCATGAGAAACTCTTATAAATAATAATAAATTTATCAAAGTGGTAGGATACAACATACACAAACAAAATTCAATAGAGTGCCTATATAGAAAGAATGAGCCCACTGACAAAGAAATGAAGAAAACAATCCCATTCACAATAGATTCAAAGAATTATATAGTTAGGAATTAATACAATCCCCAAAGTAAAATACCTCTATAATAAGAACCAAATTGCTCTGAAAAAAGAAATGGAACAGGACATTAGAAAGTGAAAAGGTGTACATTGTTCTTGGATATGGAGCAAAATATTCTCAAAATGGCCATGTTAGAAACAATGATATATAATATTAATGTAATTCCATCCAAAATTTCATTGGTATTTTTCAGTGAAGCAGGAAAAAGACTTTACAATTTACATGGAACCAGAAGAGAACCAGAATAGTCAAAGCAATCCTGAACAATGAGAACAAAGCAGTAGTCATTACAATCCCAGACTCAATTATAATACAAAGCCACAGTAGTAAAACAGCATGGTACTTACACAAAAAGAGAAATGTTGACCACTGGCATAGAATAGAGGATGCACAAATAACCAAATTACCTTCAGCTGTTTGATTTTTAACAAAGGGGCCAATAATGTATGCTGAAGAAAAGGTAGCCTCTTTAACAAATGCTGATGGAAAAATTGGTTATTCAAGTACAAAAGAATGAATTCTGATCCACATCTCTCCCTCTCTACTAAAATCAAAAGAAAAAGGTTCAAAGACATAGATAGAAAAATAGAAAAAATAAATTTCCTAAAAGAAAAATTGATAAAACTCTTGAAGACAGAAGCATAGCTAAGGACTTCTTGAACAGAACCCCAATTGCACTAGACATAATACCAAGAAGAAATAAATGTGATTGTACCAAACTAAAACGTTTCTTTGCAGCAAAATAAATAACCCACAAATTAAAAATAGAACCTACAGAACAGAAACAAAAATATCAGCTACTCTACTGACAGAGAACTAAGATGCAGAACATATAAAAACAATAAAAAATTAGTCCCCTTGAAATGAAAAACCCAATAAAAATAGGCAAATGAAATTAATAGCCCCATCACAAAAGAACCAGTCCAAGTGGCCAGTGAGTACAAGAAAGACTTTTCAGTATATTTGGCCATTTGAGAAATGCAAATGAAAGCAACATGGAGATTCTACTCTACTCTAGTAAGAATGGTTATTATTAAGGACCCAGAAAACAAGTGCTGGTGATGTTTTGGTGACAAAGGAACCCTTCTACATTATGTGGGAAATGTAAACTAGTGTGACGACTGTGGAAATCAGTATGAAGATTCTCAAAAAACCCCCTGAAAAGTAGAAATTCCATTTGATCCAGCTATAGCTCTTCTGGATATCATTACCAAAGAGCTAACATCATCATATTGTAGTGACACATGCATACTTTGCATAGTTGTGCATAGTAGCACAATTCATAATAGTTAAATAATGAAAGCAGGTTATATGTCCATCAACAGATGAATGGATAAAGAAAAGGTGAATATATATATATGTATGTATATATATATATATATATATATATATATAATGTATGCACACACAATGGAGAACTACTCAGACACAAAGAGGGGTAAATTTGAGTCATCTGGAGGAAAATGGATAGATCTTTGAGACCATAATACTATGTGAAATATTTCAGACCCTAAAAGTTAAATATTACATGGTTTCTCTAATATGAGACTCAATATATAAATAAGTTAAAAAAAAGATACATGTTAAGAAACGAGGAGGTAGACTTTATGAAGATGGAGAGTGGATCTGGTGAAGGAAGGAGAAGGAAGGCCTGGGCAGCATAGAAAGTAAAAATGATCATAATGAGCTATTTATATATAACAACTAACCATGATGAATGTAATTACTGTATATCACAAACATGCACTACTAAAAATTTCAAAAAGAAAAAAGTAAAGCTCTTTATTCTTTTTCAAACAAGAGACTGGATTCATCATGAAATGATATACTATTTCAAATATTCCTTACTATGTAAAATGGGTAAATCTTATTATTTTAGCACTCAATTGGATAAACATAAAATATTACAATTCAACTACTTAAGGAAAACATCCTCTGGAAGAAAAGACACATTTGATGAACTTGTACCATAATGTCCAGAAATATTTTGGTGCTTCTCTGCAAGATATATAGTCAATATATGTCATATCACCTCTTTAGACTATATTGTTTTCTTAGAAAATCACAGTCTTTGAGATTTGAATATTTATAATTTTGAAAATTTGTTTCCTTTCATTTTTACTGTGATCAAGTAAGTAATAATATGATAGTTCTTAAAAATCTGGTAACTACTTCCCATAAGTGCTTATAAAAATATGTTCTCATGCTAAGAAGTTTAAAAAAGGAAAATATAATACATTTCAGTCAGTTTTATTTGTATGTGAGAAACATTTTGTTATTCATTGATTTGATGTTCTTTATCTCTTTATGGGTAGAACTGTTGCCTACCTTCAAGGTATGTTGACATTCCAATCCCCAGTAATTTAGAATGTGCCTGCATTTGGAAATGGGTTCTTTAGAGAGATAGTCAAGTTAAAATGAGGTCTTTAAAATGGGCCCTAATCAAAATGACTGGCATCTTTATAAAAAATGAAAAATTTGGGCACAGGTAGCCATACATAGAGGAAAGTCAATGTGAAAGTGCATATGGAAGATTCTACGTGAAGACAAAATTTGGAGTGGTTCATCTACAAGATGAGGAATATCTGCTGTCAAAACCTAGGAGCCAGGCGTAAAAGCATATTCCCTGGCACTTCCCATGGCCCTTCCCACACAATGGTATCATATTTCTGGCTTCCAGAACTATGAGACAATAATTTCTTTCTGCTTTAAACCACCCAGTTTGTGATACCTTGTTATAAAATTCCTATAAAACAGATATATTACCCTAATTCAAAAATGTCTAAGAAAGAATCTCATAATTTAACTGGGCTTGGAATGCTTGTATGAATCAAGCAGAACAATGTAAACCCTCTGCTGGTTCCAAAAACAATTGCATAAAGGACTTTGGGCTCGAGATGCTATGTAATTACCACAGCCCTGCTGTGATTTCGTACTCTGTACTTGCTTTCTCCATTGAGCGTCATAGAAGTTTGGAATGTGACTTGCAGCTTTAGTTTTCTAAACCTTTCAGAATATACATTGTTTTACATATCTTTTCATATATATCATTCATTTAAAGTTCATTTATATTGAACAACCAAGATAAAATTATGTTTTAAATTATTATTTTGTGAGATCAGAATCACTTTAAAATAAAATATACAATATGTTAAGATATATGCACAAAGTACACATTCTACCATTTTTTTCTCATTTTCCTTTTTTTATTTTAGAGGGAGAAAAACAATAACATAACAACAACAAAGACCAAAACAAGGTCTTGCTGCGTAGTTCAGCCTGGCCTCGAACTCACAGTGATCTTACTGCCTCAGCCTCTCAAGTGCTAGAGTTTTAGGCATGTGCCACCACACCTGACTGACTTCATATATCTTAACATTAGTTTCCCTTTTAGAGAAATACAGACGGTAATATTTTACATTACAAAATGAATATGAAAGTATTAAAGATGGAAGGAAGAGCTGCAGCCACATTGACATACTAATAATCCATGGTGGCCTTGCTTGGTCCTTGATTTTTTTTGTTGGTTTTTTTTTTTTTTTTTGGTTTTTTGGTTTTTCTCCGGTACCGGGAACTGAACTCATGACCTTGTGCTTGCCAGGCAGTTGCTTTGCCGCTGAGCTAAATCCCCAGCCCTAAAATCTGTTTTGTTTTGTTTTTCTTTCTGTACCAGGTATTGAACTCATGCCCTTGTGCTTGCCAGGCAGGCACTTTGCTGCTGAGCTAAATCCCCAGCCCAAGAAACTTTCCCCAAGGCCTGTTAGGAGCCAGGAAATATATTGCTTTTTTGTTTGTTTGTTTGTTTGTTTTCCAGTGGTCCTTAAAAATTGAATGGTATTTCAACTCTATTAAAGTTATCATAATTCAAAATTTTATACTGATGCAATAAGTTTTTCAAAGCATTATTTATCTGATTTATATTTCTTTTTTCCACGTTTCTAATTTTTTCATACCTCTGTTATATTCATAATTCAAAATTGTATAATTTTATGGTTTAAAGCAAATACTACTTACTTGATCTGTATTTAGCTTTTCCACTTTTCTTATTGTTTTTTCATAAATAACATTGTTTCCTGGGAAGATATGGTTTCCTCTCATGAATGGAGACAGTGGTTCCTATGAAAACAGTAGACTATGTTTTAAAAAAAGTTGTATTTTCCAATAAAGCTCAAATGAAGCAAATATCAAAGAGCTAGTAGCTGTTGTGGTACTAGCAGTTTTCAGGAGGAGAATATAATGATATTTGAATAATATAAATAGATATTAATATAGATTGATAAGAAAGCAGTAATAAGTATAGTCCACTTTATCAAAGAGAACAGTATGAATTTCTCTTTCTCTCTTTTACTAGGTCTTTTGGGGAGACTGAAAGGGAATAGGAAAGTTTTTTCTCTGTTCTAAGGCAAGCTATAATTTTTCTTCTAAGGCAGACAAACCTGAAGTCAACCTCATTTACACTGGGTTCACTAGCAAGTTTCTGTGAAAAATTATCAGAGAAATACAAAATAAATATAATTCCCAAGCTACTGAGCCATAAAGTAGAACTATATAAAATATTTTCTTTTCAATACTCAGTTTGAGTACCCTTAAAAGTATACAATTCCTGTGATACTTATCAAGGTTGAGACTCTCAGTACAACATATGTTTTAAACACTAAGAACAGAGCAGAAGCTTTAAGAGGCTGTGTATCTCTATGTAATCAACTAGAGTGCTGTAGGGTTACTCAGTTGCTTAGAAGATACCAGGCAATTAAATAAAGGCTTGTGACATGTCCAAAGCCTGACTGAAACCAGAGACAGACTAATAAGAATCTAATTAGGAGTCTAAAAATAAATGTGACATACGCTACAATCTTTTCCCTTCCTGTAGTTTTCATTTGAATCTTGTGTTATGAGAGCTAGGGTCGTATTGTTTGCTGATGTGACACAAAATAAGAATTATATTCATTTATTTTATAATATAGGAAAATAATATAGAAGTAGTTGTAGCCAAGGCCATTACCAATCATGTGTTTAGGAACATTTTAAAATAAACACAATTTACTAACACTTTTGAAGTATACTATTGTAAATATTCTTAGAGCAACTGGAATAATACACTGGTTGTTTAAAAGGAACATACTGTTGAAGCAAAAGTTGCACTCTCCTGGCATCCAAGTTTGAATAAAGGGTGTTTTAAGTAGATGGTCCTTGGGTACTGTGCTAAGACAAATATAGTAACTAAATTTCACTAGTAGTTGAGTTATTAAATCTAAAGATGGATTATATTTAGAAACATTCTTAAAAAATCTAGCTTGTGATTTTAGTTATTTTTAAAGAGTCTCTTTAGTGGTTATATGCAATCATGTAACATATACTTCACTACCTTATAAGCACAATGTACTTTGCTAGTGGTATGAGGCATACATACATTAATCAGACTCATCAGGAACATTTGATATTGATTGGATTTCATACAACTTGGCAGACAGCTTTCTTTTTTTGTATTGTCCTCAAGCTATAAACGATACTCAGATTTTTAAAGGATGGTAAACAAAAGACTATCCAAGGCCCTGTGTGTCTTGGAACCATAAAAATTTTACCATCTGGGTCTTTACAGGAAATTTTGTAAATCTCTGATCTAGATAATATGTGAAGGCAAACATCTATCACACAAAGTAGAAGGTGACAGGTGCCAGCAGAGAAACATAAAAGAACTTCCAGGGTGGTGTTCAGAGGAGTAAAAACTGAGCTCTATCTAGTAGCGCTCAGTTGGAAACTTAGATGAGAGGTCTTTTGAAAGAAAGTTAAGGCGATCTTTGGCTATAAGGAGATGAAAGAGAATGGTATTCCAAGCAAATTAAACAAAAGAATTCAAGTAGCCAAGTTTAGAAAAATGTAGGTTGTATGTAGGGGATATATTTGGGGTAGAGCGCTTTGTTGTGTAAGATGCAAAAAAAATTAAGTTTTTTAAAAGGGTGAATGAAAGGGTAGATGAAGTTACCAGAAGTATATTTCAGGAAGATTAAGTAGAAAAAAATACAAGTGAAAAGACCAGTTATGAGATTATGTTAAAAAATCAAGGACAACATTTTTCAAAGATGATTCTGACATCTTGAACCTGAGGAATCTACTACATGGCCAATGGTTCCACAAACAAAAACATCAAGACACTGGGGTTTGTGTGCTTCTTCTAGGAATCTAAGATCTAGTTATCCAATTTCAAGAAGGCCAGCTCTTATTTTCTAATTCATATTTGTATTCCTCATAACACATATTAATTCCTTCAAAATGAATTAAATAATTTCAAAGAACTACCAAAGAGACTCTAACAAAAAAAATATAGCTCAATGTTTAGAGCAATGATGAGCATGTGCAGCACCCTGGGTTCCGTTTCCAGGCCCGATACATGCACACAAGTGCAGGTGAGCAATCGGGTGTACACATCCAGCACAGTTGAAAGTACAGGTTTGGAACTAAGTGGGGATTTCAAGGCTGCATAACTAGTTTCCAGGACCACTTACTTAAAGGCGTTAGTTGAAACCATCCACTGAGGGCTGGGGATATAGCTCAATAGCCCAGTGCCTGCCTGGCAAGCACAAGGTTGTAAGTTTGAATCCCAGTACAAACCGCCCCCACAAAAAAGAAATCATGCAGTTTCTAAAAAGGCAAGTGAAGACCAAAGACAGAACTAGACAACACTTAAGAGACTGAGAATCGGAAGAGAAAAATATTATGGAAATTATGAGGAGAAATTTTTGGGGAGGGGTAGGGAGTTGAATGGATAAATGTTTCAGAGATAGGAACTAGTGAGAACTACAATGTGGATTGGATTTGGGGTTATTATAAAACAATTTAGTTTGATTACAAAAATCAGTAGGACCAGGTCCAATGGAGAAAATATTATTTCTGTTTTTCCTCCAATGTCTATGTGCTTTGGAAACTTAGGTAAGTCATTAACCTTCTCTGAAATTCAGTTTGCTTATCACAGGGACAGTGATGTACCTTAAGATACCCTTAATCTTTATGTTTAATATTGAAGTGTCATTGGTTTTTAATAATGTAGTCATAATATTTAAAATACACACTGTAATAATTTTGGTCTAGTGATATAGCTTAGCAGCATAAATTCCTACTTGGCAAGGCCAGGTCTTGAGTTCAATTCTCGGTACCAAAAAAGTCTTTTTTGTATCCCACTATAACATTTCTAGGTTATTAAGTTTAAAATGTACAAAAATAGGCTTATTGAAGGTTAGAACTTTATAGATTTTGAATATCACATTGTAAATCAACAGATGATTGCATGAGAATGACTGATACTAATTTTTATCTTAAGGATAAATACATCTTCTAAGAGAGAATAAACAAATATAGTAAGAGCATGAAGATTTCTTCTTTGTAAACTACAGTTTATTGTCAATATTCGACAATTAATGTTTTTAAGAGGAAAGTTGATTTAAGAATTAAAGTTTCAATTTTGTTAAGTGTAACTGGATCTTATTATTTGAAAGGGCTTATTTTAAGAGCTCTCAAATTTAGAAGATTATTCCCCAATCTTTACAAAAGTAAAAGCAAATATTAATATGAATAAATCATTCCAAGCAAAAAATTAGCAAAATAACTTTGATCAGAAGCTTATGGTTTCTCAAAAAATAAGATTCTGTAGCTTTAATATTTTGGCAGCTTCTTTTGTTCAATCAGTACATTTGGATTGGTGCCAGTTTCATTCTAAAAATTAGCAGGTGTTGTCACAATGGCTGATCTTATCATTCTAATTGTTACTTTTAGAACTTTAGGCAGGAGATCTCACATTTAACAAAGTATATAATCCCCAACATTTACTTTGCTGTTCCCAGGCCACAAAGCTGTGCTGGAGAAAAATTTTTAAAAGACTTATTCATTACAAGTTCAAGTTATCAAGTTCTCTAATTTCAAGTAGGCCTCCCAATCTTTGTAATCACGCTGTATTCATCAAATTCTACAAGTCTTTTCATTTTTCTGAATACCCTGTTCTCATGCTCCCTCGTTGTCCTATTTATGGAGAAGACCAAGGCAACCAGCCACTATGATCTCTCCACGTTCCCCTACACTGTAACAATCTCTCTTCAGTTTCTGTTCCTTGCATGTCATTTAAGAGAAAGACACATATTCTTGTTTTCCTGAGGTCACTTCTGTGTACCTGCAATTCAGATCCTTTAGCCTTCCTTTCTATGTTTGCTTTGCCTGCATATACCTCTCCAAGGGTCTCTAAAATTCTGTTTTCTCCTCTTTAGCCACCACCACATCTCTTTCCTTTGACCAATATGTTTTTCAAAAAAGTAATGCTCACTCATTTCCTTTTTTGTCAATTATTTATTAGTACATGTTTGCAGTACGCCATGCATACATTCATTGTGGGCTCTCATTTTGTCTTGATAGGCTTCCACAAGTACTGCATACTAAAATTACTTTCTCCAGCATCACCATTGCTTTCTGAATGACAAACTGATTTTCAAACCTCAGCCCCTGCTGCCTTTTGGTCATTTGAGATAGGTGGCCGCTCCCTTTATATTTGCGATAGTTACTGAGCTTGCACTCTTTTCTGATAATACTACTTCCTATGAAAGTAGCTCCTTCTGTTGCATTAAGGTAGGTATTTTTCATGGTTCTTTCTTTAAATATTTTACATTTTTATTTGTATACATTTTCAGTCCATAATAATTACAATCATTCTGGGAATTTGGTACATATACATAACATAGCTTAAATTTTCTCACTTCTGCTTCCTCTTCCCTCTTCCCCACTCCTGTGGTCCCCTTCATTTTTGAAAAAGAAAAGCTTCTGCACAGCAAAGAAAACCACTAACAGAGTAAAGACAAGCTACAGGATGGGAAAAAATTGCCACCTACTCTTTAGACAAAGGATTAATATCTAGAATATATAAATTAAAAAATTACATTCCCCCAAATTTAAATGGGCACTTAAAATGGGCAATTAAAAATGGGCATCTGAAATTTTTAGGTGTTTCTCAGATGAAGAAATACAAAAGCCAATAAATACAAGAAAAAATTGTCAATATTGCTGGCATTTGAGAAATGCAAGGTAAAACAACACTGAGACTCTATCTCATTCCAGAAAGAATGACTACTATCAGGTAA